CGTGACTGATGTCGCGGCCCCTGGAATTTGAAACCGATACTTTATTTTCACGAGGGTACTTTACATGAAGCCCTGTGGACGTTTTCATTTTTTTAAAGGCTCCAAGTTTTTTCATTAAATTTTGCTGTTGAATAGTACGATGGACGTTTAAGAGAATGTTGCAGGCCATATTTTCGTTGAATTCCCCATTTTTCGAAAATTACAACAACAAAAAATTAACTAGAACTACAAAACTGAAGATAGAGATTCTTGCCTCAAACAAAGTATGTTGTACTAAATTAGCTCTTTAAAGAAGTCATGTACAATTTTTTTGAAAAAATTAGTAGTTTTAATGTAATTCGCGATTGAAATTATGGTAATTTTTTTCTTTAAGAAAAGCTCAATATTTTTCTTAAAATTTTATACACTTTTGGGACGGTAAAAATATGACGTAAGACCCGATTTTCGGATATTGCTACTTTGTTTCGAAAATTGCAAAAAATTCAAAATTACAAAATTGAAGATAGTGATTTTTACCTCAGACGAAGTATGTTGAACAAACCCATCTTTTTAAAAAAAATGCATGTACAATTTTTTGTAAACGTTGTTTTCGCGTAATTTCTGTTTGAAATTAATGAAGCATATACAGTCGACTCCGGTCATAGTGAACTCGGATATAGTGAACTCTCAGTTATAGTGGACTTAAGTCTCTGGTCCTGTTTCATTTACATTAAACATACGCACAAGATTCAGTTATAGGGAACTCTGAGCCTCGGCTATAGTGAACGTAGGAAATACAACGTCCTAGAAATTAATTACTTACTGGAAAAAATATGAAAACTTGAAAAAAGATCGTCGTTGAAGATATGAAAAAAGTCTCCCCTGAGATGGAGGTAGCGGACACGGAATGGGGTCTTAGACCTTACCGATGAGCGGGGCACGGATTCTGATGACATGTCATCTTTTCATTTGTGCATTCTAATTTGTAAATGAATCTCTCTCTCTCACTCTCTTTCTCTCTCTCTCTCTCTCTCTCTCTCTCTCTCTCTATATATATATATATATATATATATATATATATATATATATGTATGTATATATACATATATATATATATGTATATATACATGTGTGTGTATGTGTGTGTCAATATGTCATAGAAATTAGTTAATTTCTCATATACGTACGTATATGCCGAGTAACGTACTTAGTACAGTAGAACCTTGGTAATTCGAACTCCGCAAATCCGAAATTTCGGATAATCCGAACAAAATTCGTAATGGAGGAATAATAAACAAAATACGTAAAAAGCTTATTTGTAGTGTGAGGAAATGAATTTATAATTACTGTAGAACTGAACAACTAATTGAACTATTGAAACAAGTTGTCGAAATGAGACGTTTATTGCACTGGAAACTACGATGTTTATCACATGCTCACGTAGTAGAAATTTTCACTTAGAGGTACTTGCATTTTTTAAAATTTAGGATCGCATAAACATATATGTTATTAGCGACCACTATTGCATTTAATGGTATGGTAACTGTGAATATGGCATGACATGGTGATGATAGAGAACAAAAGAACGAACACAAGCCTGAGGTGGGACTCGAACCCGCGATCTTTCGCTCCGACACTACTGCCTTAACGATCGGCTCAGTAAGTTTCTTTTGTCGAAAGGAACTGAATCTGCTTGATGATGCGATGTGATGACACGATCGCTACGCTACGTGGTCAGTTTCTCACATCGCACGATACGCTTTATTTGTACTTGTACAGAACATTTTTTCGGTTAATCCGAACATAACTGTCCTAATCCAAACAAACTACATCCCCAATCAGTTCAGTTTACCGGGGTTATACTGTATAGAGAATGTTATATTCTGCGGAAAATAGAGTTCGATATTTCAACGGAAATGCACGTTTTGGGGTCCCCAGATACCGACAAAATGTTGCTTTTTTCAAACGTCCGTCCGTCTGTCAAACGTCCGTCCGTCACTGCTAGCGCCTAAACTACAATATGTGATCAAAAGTGTCCGGATACACAGCTGAAAATGACTTACCAGTTCGTGGCGCCCTCCATCGGTAATTCTAGAAATCCAGCTGGAGTTTAAAACATAAACGCAGGCTTGTATAGTGTTAGTGCCACACAAAACAACAAGGGGGAAAAGCCCTCTCCATGAAAAAAACGACCACACCATAACACCATTTTGGACGTGTCATACTTTTGATCACATAGTGTATATTCTTACGTATGATTTTTTTTTTTTTTTTTGCCTTTCCCGGAAGATCTGGCTCGACTGAAAGCGCTGCGACTAAAAAAAAAAATCCTTAAAATTTTGGGGGTACTTAACATGAAGCCTCTGGGACATCTTGAAAATTTTCTGAAAAATGGCTTCAAGTTTTTTCTTTAAATGTTTTCAGAGAATAGAGTAAAATAGACATAAAGTTGTTTTTTAAATTATTTATTTTAGGTTACTTTGTAAACATCTAAGGTCATTAGCGACCAATATTGATTTACATTTTCCAAAGAAACATTTTATAAATTATAACAAAACGTTAAGTACAATAAATTTTACAATAATTCTGATAATTTTATCAAGACCAGGATTATTAAGATAATTTAACATTGACTTGCAATATTTAATTGAAATAAAAACAGGTAAATGGGTAAGTGAAGAATTGCCAATTCTTCATGTTTCATGCAATTTCATTCTTCCTTATTGTGATTTCATTTATCTACGAAGCACATTTCACTTTCAACTTCGGTCTGATAGTATCTTTCATATCAACAAGTTTTTCTGCTAAATCTTTGCTGTATAACCAATTTGTGTTTAGCTGCAATGCATGTACTTTTCGCAAACCTTTATTTACCTTTTAAATATTGAGAGAGAACATCGACTTTACTTCTTAATTCGTTTATATTATTTTGAAGTGGTCTCTTCCAGTCGGGTTTCATCGCTTTGACTTCGCCATGTTTGTCTTATGTGGTAAGTCTTTTGATCGTTCTTTACAATCGCAGTTTCTACTGCTCTACACAGCGAGTTGAACTTCGGACAGATTTCGTCGTTTACTCCGATCCTTTTTAAGACGTTATTGTCTTGGTAAAAGTACCTTGTTTGACTTTGTTGTTGTTGTTGTTGTTGTTGTTGTTGTTGTTGTTGTTGTTGTTCTTCTTCTTCTTCTTCTTCTTCTTATTATTATTATTATTATTATTATTATTATTATTATTATTATTATTATTATTATTATTACTATTAGTTATGAATTAATGTATTCGGTGATAGTGGAATTTACAGTTGCTACCTTGAAGAATTCAAAAGGCGGAGCACTAAACAAGCGTTATCGCTTTAAACAATTTTTACTCAACTAAAGAAAAATTACGAGTAAAAAGTTCAAAACACATTGCAATAAAATTTTAACGTTAATAATATTATTTATGTATAATGAGATTTGGGGCAAAAATGTTTTCAACAATTTTGATATATATGAGAAAATCATCTCTTAAAAAGATCTAGGTATTGTTTAGGTATTGCTCTCAGCTCATATTTCTCAACAGAAAGATGAGTCTTTTGCAACGCTAGTTCTGCGAATTTTCTGAGAGTGGAAGGGTATCGGAACAACGCTTATCTCCAATTTGAGTATTATCGAATGTTGCACTGTTTCGAGAGTAGCATTCAGGCTGTCGGAAGGCAAGCCATCTCCATCACACTGAAAACTTATTTAAAATATTGTAGCGAAGCCAAGCTTCGGAATTTTAAATTAATTTCTATTAAAAGTACTAATATTTTCAATTTCTTTTTATGAATGCTTAAGAAGACTTGATCATAAAATGCAACAAAGAATATAAGAATAGAATATAATATAGAAAAGTAGGGGCAATAGGACATCCTACGAGTTCATGTAGGGATATTTTATTATAAACTAGGAATGAATCCTCTACAAAACTGGGGCGCATGACAACCAACTCCTGTGGTGGTGCATATTAAAAGCAGGCCATTATTTTGAATTTTTATTTGCATCATGAAATGTACTTGCTTTAGGAGAGAAGCCAAGGGGGGAAAAAATTGACATAAACCACGGCTGATTTGAATCGGCCGTACCTGATCTCAGTGCTTAAACTCCATAACAAGATTTGTGAAAAGCATCTTCACTAAAAAATACTGAACTTTTTTTTCAACACAAAAAAATTACTACGCTAAATTAAATCCATAAAAAATTGAATGGAATTAGTACGAGAATTGTTTTAATTTAGAATTTATCGTGATAAAATGCCAAGATAAAAGTACGAAAGAATCTAGTACTCAAATCATTTTGATCTCGAATAGGGCCTACTTTTTGCCCTTCAATTCTCTGAGATTATTTTTCGCTCTGTTTTCTTTCTTTCTTTCTTTCGTCAGTTCCGGAATCTCTACTCCGTCTTAACCATAATAATGACTTAATGATGATGACGATGATGATGATGATAATAATAATAATAATAATAATAATAATAATAATAATAATAATAATAATAATAATAATAAACTATTGAATTATTAAGATAGCATGTTATTTCAACATTTATATTTATTATTTCAATATGATATAATTATTGAATTATGAATCAAAAATGGTAATGAGGAATTTATGACATTTGATAACAAGGAATGTTCGCTGGTGTGTAATTTGCATCTAACACAAGCTACAGATTTGACTATACAGTACCGTCAATTTTGCTAACCGAACGCTCCCGCTCGTCTCGCTTCTAGTAAATTGATGCAAGAAAGCGCGCGCGAGTAAAAAATATATTTTCTTAAACGTGATTGTTCCATTTTATTTTTATTTCTAAGTAAAAGAATTTCTTAATTTTATATTCTATAAGTATTTGGTCTGTTCCATTTTGGTCTGTTCCAAACCAAAAAATAGCACCAATTGCATTCACATTTCCCGAAAAAAATTGCTTAGTTTTGAGCGAAATCGCAAATTAGCCATTACAAAATTTACGATGCAATAGTAATTAAATTGTCAATAAATTTAATACTGTAATCTATCAACCATATACGTGCAAAATTGGTGAGATCTTGTGCGTCGTTATGGGCAGATAAATATTTTATTGATATAGATATGGGCTGGAGCGTAACAATGTTAATATTCGAAGGAGTAAGAAAGCGACAGAAGGGATTTCGTCACTGTACTGATTACACTGTATAAACTGACTAATAGATGTAAACAAATATTTATCAGAAGGTACAGAAACAATGCTCCCAAACAAATAACATGTTGGATACCCCCTCCTGAGTATCCGTTCTGTCTTCCTGAAATGCACTCTTTGTGTTGTGCAGTTGGCAGCAGTATTGAATGAACAGCCAGCTGACCCATCCGACGAGTTCGTCGAGTCGGCATCATGGGTGACGGCGAAAGGGAGCCTTTGTTGCAGAAAGACAGTAATGAAGGTTATTCAAATGTTGCTGGTGGTTTTGCTCCAGGTAAGTTGCTTCTCATGCGTTAAAGCTGCGCATGAAACTTCTTTCAGCTAATATTCTCGCGATACAGCTCGATTTGCTTTGAACGGGACATTCCATTTCTGGTTGTCTTGTTGCGTCGAAGCCCTTTCATAATCACGTGATGATAAATCACCCAACACAAAAGGATACGCTTTAATTTCATTATTTTGTTTATATTTACTAGGGGAGCAAGCAACTGTTTCACCCATTGGTCCAGATGAACTTCCACCCCCTTACAGGTATTCGGGTGACTTCGTACCGACTGTTACGTGCCGAGTTTGTCAGTCCTTGATTGACCTAACTGGCAAACGAAACCAGCATGTGGTTAAATGCCCCCAGTGCACTGAAGCGACTGTAAGCAAACCCCGTTTTTATATATGAATAGGTTGTAATACTTTTTTGTGAAGGAAATTGTTTAGAGGTATTTGAAAAAATACTTTTCCAAAATTGTCAATTATTACTAATTTTCCCATAGATACAACATATGACATTGTTTATTTACTAGTTAACACCTCATGTGTGTGTTTTCAGCCCATTCGCAATGCTCCGCCTGGAAAGAAATATGTTCGCTGTCCATGTCATTGTTTACTGGTATGCAAAAGTTCGTCTCAGAGAATTGCTTGTCCACGGCCCAACTGTAAAAGAATTATTAATCTGGCACCAAGCCCAGTTACACCACCAATAACAACAATGCCAGGGATGTGCCGTGCAGCTTGTGCTCACTGTCATGATACTTTCTTGGTGTGTTATTGCTTTCTAATTTTGTAAAATTGATTTATTTTTTGATAAAATACACTCTAATATTATTTAATTTTGCAGTTCAACACTTTTGTGAATGCACTTGCCAGGTGTCCCCATTGTCGCAAAGTGTGAGTACTCTATTTCACATCAAGTTTATTTAGTTCATTTACTTCTGGCTCGTAACATAATTTTGTCCGAAGTAAAGGCATTAAAAGAAGTATTCCTTCAAATTTGTAGGTCATCGGTGGGCCCAGATTTTGCTCGTTCTCGGGGAATATTGTTTCTTGTTCTTTCTGTAATTTTCTTGGCTGTTGGCATTGGCGTTACGGTAAGTGCAGTCTAAATTATGTGTTTCAATTTTGATATGTATTATAGCGTGTCCATGATGTGTTTTTTGATCTTATGGAAAATTTCTAGGTTGGCACATACAAATTGGCTGCTAGGAATGGTGGTATATATGTTGCTTATGTTGGTAAGTAATCTGATGATATTCTTATAGTATGTAGCAATTGTTTCTATTCATCAGCATATATAGGCATCGCTATTTCCAAATATTTTTCTTGAGAAGTTGTGTGGAAATGGAGCAGTCTTAACTGCTCTCTTAAGTTTATTAGTAAAACAATGAGGAGGAGGATATAGAATACAATTATTTCTAAGAATATATTATGATTTCATTGCAAGAGAGTCCCAGTATATTTGATGAATAAGTTTATTTAAATTGTGGGTGATGTGTAGTTTTTGTACGGGTTCATCTATTGAATACATAAACAAAGAAGCATTTATCAAATTATTTTGAGTGTTAAAGGATGATTATGGAATTGAAAATAGTTTTTTCTAGTGAAATACCAATAAGTGTATTAGATGTAACTTTTGCATCAACAAGTAATGAGACATGTCACACAGCATAATAATGACTCTGCCAGATTTGAAAGTACGAAGAAAAAACAGAACTTGCATATTAATCAGTGTACATTGATTTTGAATGCATAAGTATATGGTCATGATTTTACAGAAAGAAACTATTGTTTCAATATTTTGGTGTGAGGAAGAATATTATTTTAGAACATTGTGAATGTGTATCAAAACAAATATTTAATGGTAAATAGAACACTAGGTATTTCTTTTGTAATGATTCAGCAAATACAAGTAAACATTTAGAAATTAGGTGGGGATGCAGAGTGTTACTGAGCATTGTAGTGTCTCCTCAATGTAATATCATAAGGATATTAGAATGATCTGCGAGATAACATTTTGTAACAGTTCTAGTGGAATGCAGGAATATTTATGGTACATTACAATGTAATGTAATTACAATAATTGGTAGGTTTAATGAATAGCTTGCTAAAATGACTTCTCAGAATACCTTAATGTCTCACTTTGTGTGTATTTTTAGAATGAGAAGACCACTTAATTGTGAATAATTCCTTTGAATTTTTTTAATATGCGAGTAGATTGAAGATCTTAATTACATATGAAGAATAGAATTCTTGTGAATACTGAAGTGTTTCACATCTTGAAAACTTTTTAGATCCTTGGGTAAATTGTGGATTTAATGAGCCATTTCAATAACAATCCAATACCTTTCTTGTAACAATGTTAAGGAAGAAAGTATATTCTGAATGTGTAAATCTTTTCATAAAGAATGTGTTCAGTTAGTTGGCAGGGATTTTCTACGCCAATTGCAAATGAGCAGTAACAGTTAATGTTAATGTGACAGAATCATTTTTAAAGATGCAGTGGAGAAGAAACATTTAAACTAACATTCTTTTAAATAAAGCTACTAAAAGAATTTTATACTTTTTGTACATAGTGACTACTACATCTTTATCTCAGACTTCAATTAGCTTTGGGAATGAGGAGAGGATAATTATTTGTAAATAAGGGTTTAGTGTGTGAGAATAAAGAACAACTAGAGAGCTTGATAACGATAAATCAACAGCCATCAAAATGAGTCGTGCAGCTGCAGTTATCATGAAAATAGAATAGCATGATCAAAAAAGTGAAAGATTAACATTGATTTGTAAAAATAAAAGCAAGACTGAAGGGTGTGAAAGGTGATATAAAAATGCTTGCTGCGTGAGGATGGAATGGAGAAGAAAGGCAAATGATTGAATGGCACTTGTTATTTAGGAGCCAAAAGTGGAACTTACAGGACTGAAGAGCCAGAGTAGAATGTTGTTGGAAATTTTAATATGACAGTTAAATTTTGTTGATAAATGATAGTTTCATATTTTCAATAAGTTTTGTTCATGTAAATTCAATTTAATGTTTGAACACTTGTTTTTACTATTATTAGACAAGATGAATGTTTTATTATGCATTATTTTATTTATGTAAAAGGGCTGCAAAATAATTTCAGGCAATCAAGATGAATAATTTTATCATATATATTTCTATATGAATATGCTTAAATTCTGGCAGTTCTTTGAACAGGAATGGAAATGTCCAGGTATAATCATTAATATGGAGATTATTGATTTGTTATGTGTCTTGAAAATTTGGGGAACCTCTTGTGATATTGTACATTTCTCTGTTTGTGTTTTAAAATTTTTGGGTTTGAAAGTTTTCATGGAAATATTCCTAGATGTCCAGAGCACGTGTGGAATGAGGGTGCTTAAACCAATTCTGCATTTGCAACTTGATCTAGAATTCACAAGCAAAACAAATTTCCTTTCTTGTGAGGAAGGAATCAAATCTTCCTTTCTTTCCGTTATGAGGAAGGTTTGGAAAATAATATTCATGAAATTGAATGGAGGTCTTGCTGTTTAATTTTATTTTAATTTTATGTTTGTGGAGGTTGTTGTTATACTTAGTGAATTATTGCTATTGTTACCAAAGAACAAAAATCTGAAGTTTAGGGTTCATGATAAACCTGTATTAATGTGACAATCTTCTTATTTATGATCTTCATTCAAGTGACATCTGTGATATAATATCTGGTGTACTTAAAACAGTAAATTATATTAGTATAGTCGTGAATGTGGATTTATTGATATTCTGCTTTTTATTATAGGTGCGTTTCTGCTGGCCCTATTAGCTTTGGCTCGTTCAATTTACTTTTTTGCCATGAAGGTGAGTTTGATTGAGGGTCCTATGTAAAGCCAATCTGGAAGGAGTATACACATTCCGAGAGTGCGATACAGATATGATGGTGCATGTGGAATTCACCAGCCAGCAAGACCCTCTGCTTGTTACTTACATATGTAAGTCAGATTGGTCAGTGTTGGTGATTTGATGTGCAAATGAGTATGTATAAATCTTGTCTCATATGTTGGCAGTTCTTGGGGGGCACACAAGTGTGTGCCTTTATTGTAATAAAGTGTTTAGCTTTCTTTACCACACCAGTGGAAAAGTATTTGGCTTCATGTTACTCCATTGTATTTTGCTTGGAATTATATTAATATTTTAATTATTTAAGATGCAGTTTATGGACATAGACTTAATTCAGTGTACATTGAAGAAAATAATTGTGCTGATTGATATTCTGATAGCAGTATTGTATGTAAACTCCAGATCTAAAAGACTGTTAATTGGATTTATGTAATCAGTTTGTGCTTTCCAAATATGGATGTGTTGAGCAGAGAAGATTATTTATTTTGAACTTTTCTTGTGATATAATAGATCATTTGTATACATTTTGTATTATGAAGTCCTGTTTCCTTTTCCATGATTTTGTACATGTAACAGATGTAATTTTACTGTAATGAAAGTTTTATTGGGTGAAAATGGTTTTATTGTATTTCGTTTTTTATTGATTTTGCCTCTTCAATACTCCCTGCTCTTTTCCAGACCTACTTTAGTTTGAAATGATGGTAAGGCTATTTGAAGATATATTAACTTGTTTTTATAATGTGCATTAATTTCTCCTAAATATCGGAGGAAAATTCAGTGCAAACTGAATTATTTTCATTGAGTTAAGGAGAAATTTTTGTTTCTGCACTTGACCAAGAAACTTATCTTGCAGAGGGTCTTGCATAAATCAGTTGGAATTTATAAATTGTAAATTTGTACCTAGCTTTTAAGAATAATTCTGTGCATATTATGCTACATGCTTAACTATTAGTCATGTAGCAAAGTAGAGGAATATAGTTAAAATAGATACAGCACTGAGCTTTCAGTAAGTACAAGTAATTTGTTAAGATGCAGGGATGACGTATTTGACAATGTAGGAAATGTTACTTTTCCAATGTTCAACCAGTATGTATTACCTGTCTTCAGAATGTTTGCCATAAAAACCTGTTAAAGTGTGATGGGAAGACGAATTTGCAGCCATTACATACTCCAACTATTTCCCTCCTGTGAATTAAGGTTGCATTCTAAACATTCTGGTAGAAGTCACTTGCCAGTAAAATATTGTTGGCTGTCATCTTTTTTGTGCCTTGATAGGAATGAGGAAAATGTGCTGTGATGGCTTACTTAGCATATTTCTACAAGCAATCTGGTGTAGTTGAAAATGCAAATGTCTTTCTTCCACATTCAAAATTATGCAAGGAAGTATGTTGGTTTTATTGTATCTTAACATAATATGTTGCTTCCTGAAAGCTTGGCCTCTATTACTGAAAAGTAATAAAGATCTTGAAATTTTTGTAAATCTAAGTTTCTGCCTTTTTCAAATCTAATAATGTAATATAATACTTCGGTAAATCTTAATTTTTTTCAAAGTTGTGTATTTGGATCATTGTTTTTATAAATAAGGTCCACAATGTTTTTTTTCATTATTTGTAATAGTAGGCAAAAACTGTTCATGTTAATTTTATTTTGAAACCTTCATGACAACTTCAGTTAAACTAAGACTAAAATAGTCTTCAAGTTTTTTCTGCACATCAATGCATTGTATTACATGAAATTGCTTCATTGTTTTGATATTTGTTTATATATGTATATCAAAATATACACTATATAAATATAAACATTCACGTGTGTATGTATATGAAACAAATATCTTAACACAGGACAGACAACCTGAAAATTTGTATGTGTATATAATAAGATTTGTGTTTATGACATCAAATATTACTGTACAACCAATCAGAAACTCAAGGTTTGGGATTCATGTGGTGAATTTGTGAAGTAGTCTCATATTAATTCTTTTCAGTAATAATAAGCAAGTGATTTTTCTTTCAAAAAAATATCTGAAAATTTTTCCAACCTCAAGAATTGTTACTAGAACTGAAGTTTTGCCCATCATGGAAATTTTCCGTGATAAATGATACACCAAAGCTTTATCTAGGTGTACATTATTGTAGGTTCAAAGAACTGTCCATTTTGAAATTATTTATGCTTTCTGAAGTCCCAGCCTTGCTATGTTTTTGTACATTGCATGATTTTGTGTAATATTACAACCACCTATGTATTTGATGGAATATAAAACTGAATATATTGTGATAGTCTTATGTTTTAAATATTTGTGAAATAAATAATTTCAAATAGTGTTACAAATTTGTTTTTTGATGTGTAAAGTTACTTAGGAGAAGAAATTGGAGTATTAAATTGTTTGAATTCTTATTTGTCATTTTTAGGAATTGCTTTCATATGTATTCAAGAATATAGTAAGGTGTATGCCTTAGTAATCTTTGGATATAGTTAACAATTTAATATTTACAATACTTATCTGAACAGATTTTATGCTCGCATGTTATTCCAATTATAGTGATTTAAACATTTTGACTCGCAAAACAAAGTCCGGCTCTACTTTCACAACACATTCTAATAACTCAGGAAAGAAAAAAAGAGGAAAGTTTACTTTTCCAAAGGGAGCAACCTCAAGCTCTAGGGGTGGACGATACCTACCGTCCCCATGTTAATTCTCATTCAGTGTGTTTGTCACAGATCAGTGTGTGTATGAAGATAACATGAAAACAGGAATATTCCTTTTAAAGGATGAATGTGTGACAATACAGAATTTCTTTCACATTATACAGAGAGCTTATTTTCAATTTAATTGTGACTTCTGACGTTTGATCAGTAGGAATGCAATTATCCAGTTGGGAGCTTCAGTATGAAAAATTAATGACGATTGCAATTGGATAATTGAACGCAACTGATCAGAAGTCGGAAGTTGGTCTATAAATTGAATTATATATTGTCATACTAAATGCAAGATAGCCCTAATTTGAATGTTATTTGACCTATTTGTTCAAATTATCATTACAGAAAACTTTCATTTTAATTTTTAAAAGCAAACCGTATTTTCTATGGTATAATATTGAATTAATGTGTCTATTCCTTAACCCTTGAGCAGACACTTGAAGTTAGTATATTATGTAAGTAGTTACACTAGTTTCTATGTGCACCACTAGTAACGTTTTTTTGTGTATCCAATAATTACAGAACTGCATTTTGTAGCTCTATTAAGTGAGTTTTCATTTCAGTTTTTGTTACTTGGTGGATGGAGCTCTAGGATAGGAAGACACTAAAATAAAATAGGCAGTAACAAAAGAAATTATGATAATTTTTATTGCATCCTCCATCTATTACGTAATATGAAAATTAAAGTATGTGGTGTACTTTGTTTTCTAAAAGACATGTTTATTTCATTTCATTATTTGACATTCTATAATAAATTATTTCAATGTAAAAAAAAATTGTGATTTCTTTCTGGATATTGGTGAATATTGATCAAGATGTAGCTAGGAACATTTTATCATTCTTTAGGTCCTTTATATATCTGGTTGGAGATTGCCACAAATAAAATGATGTATTTTAATGGTGCTTATGATACATCCTAAGTAGATAGGGCATGGCAAGCCAAAACTTTTTTACTTCCTCACTACAGAGTAAAGAAAAAGTTAATGCTGAATTGAAAAAGGGAAAATTTTAGGCAGTAAAACTCTTTGATGTAGGGCTGATAACGATAAAGTGGTTAATTCCAGTTGCTAAATTTAGGAGGAAAAATCCTCTTAACAGGAGTGATGTAGCCGGAATCCATGTTTTGTGGGTCCTTGATTCCGAAAAATCGAATGACGGCAAAACGTCTGGCTGTGAGCAACGCTAGCGGCCGATTTTCTCCAAAATTCATATTCCCCAGTCGATCTGGCTGATGTCGCAACCCCTTTAATTTGAAACTGATATTTTAATTTTGAGGTGGTACTGTACACGATGCCCCTGGGCCGTTTTCAAAAAAATGGCTTAACCGATTTTATCAAATTTTGTTGTTGGATAGTGTGAATGACGTTTAGGCGAATGCATTAAATGTCATTTATTGCTGCGACATGACACTACATATTAACCCCAAGTAAATGAATAAATAAATGAAAATGATAGAAGAATTCTAATAAGACGGGCGTATTCAGAGACAAATTTTGCAAGGAGAGATTAATTAACATCATAGGGGAAAGTCAAAAACAAAAACGTCAGTTATATTTACTCGTTCTGAAAAGTACGCCAGCAAAACTTCTGAGTCAGAGGTGACTCCTTTTTCTCACTTTCCAATATTTATACATTTTGTATTCTCTCTCAGCAGAATTCAGTAAAATTTGTAAGAATTTTAATTTAAATTAGTAGTGATACAGAATAGCACAGACTTTACCGTATTACTTTTCTATTTCCTTTGGCCTGGACTCGCCACTACTCGGACTTGCCACATACTATTGTCAGCTGTCATCTATCGCCACCCAAACTACATTTTTTTGACGTATTTTCAATTTTTCGGCTTCCTAATTGTAGAGCGGAAATATTATATTAAGTAAATTAAAAACAGTAAAACCTCGTCCTAAATGGCAATTTTCTTTGAAACATTTGGAGGGGTTTTTAAGAGAATGGCGTTTAAACTATACTGTAAATTCGAATTTTGAATCTCTTTTCAACAGAAAATGTTTGCAAAAACATCATTCCAAGTCATTTTAAGTACTTTAACTCATAAATATAATAGTGTTTACACGCTGTCGGAAGTGTGCACTTCAACGGCGTGAGAGATCTTGAAAAAATGTACATTTATGTAATTAAAAAATTACACCGAAATGATATTTCAATCATATTAAAGAGTAGAATTTGCACTACCTGTTCGAAATACTTGAAGAAAAATTTGAAGACGTTTAAGCGGTTTTAAAAATATGGAATTTTGAGCTAGTTTTCACAGAAAATGGCCGAGTTTTCGAGAAACTTTTTCTGACATTATTTAAAGTACATGTACTCATAAATACAATAATGTAAACAAATTTCCCCTAATAGAAATATTAACGACATAAGAGACAAGACAAAAAACTACGTTATGTAATTTTTGACAAAATTAACAGTTCCAAATTTTGTCTTCAATCTTTTCGAACGGATAGTGCTAATTGTACTCTTTAATATGACATGAAGTTCATTTCGGTTTATATTTTTAAAAAAATTACACAAATATAATGTTTTTGAAAGAGCTCTCTCACCGTTGATATGCACATCTCCAGCAATTTGTAACACAATTTTATTTGTGAGTTAATGTGCTTGATATTACTACTAATAGCAAATTGAATATTTCAAGAAAATGTACTTTAGGCGGATAGTAGAAGGCAAGAGAATGTGGCAAGTCCGAAAAGCTAGCCGAGGCCAGAGGAAATAGAAAACTAATACGGGAAAATCTGTGCCATTCTGTAGCACCACTAGTTTACATTTGTATCATGCTAAGACCAAATGTTTTACACCTAAAACGTTTAATTTATTCATGTTAAGTATTTTATGTTCTTCCACTAGACAGCTAGGGTCAAACCAACGTTTAATGTACCATTTTTCTTTTATTCATTCATTATTAATATATAGTTGATTTACATATGTAATATGTGATGTCCGACTGGAAACATATTGGCCACATATGTGTTATTTAATTAAATGATTTTGATCACTTTCCTAACTTCTGATGGGTAGTTGTGGAGTTTTAATTGCACGCCTACCACTAATGTAGTAATAATTAACGTTTTTCATGGAATTAACGAGTACCTACATTTAATTCATTAAACAAAAACTACGTTAAAGAAGCACTTTCCTTCCCCCAAAATAGTCACATCATCAAAACGTATTTCTCTCAGAATATCTTTATTCCTGCTTAAAACGACGAGACCAATTTATATGCTGAAACCTGTTGATCCAACAATTGTGACAGCTGAACGCCTGGTGAAGTTCCGCAGTCCATTGGGATTGAGCGACGGTTTCGGGGACGTCTGGAGATCGCGTATCTGAAATCACTGCCTCTTCCGTTCCTGACTGTTCGTAGTGCGCGAAGTTATCACGCTCCGTCTTGATGAAATGCGTAAATTGAAGTTGCAACGCCAGTATTGCAATCACGCTTGGAATTGTGAGAAAGTTTCTTTGTCTCGTGTACTCCAAATGTCCTTCCAAAATACTATGATTTTTAAGTCGTACATTTGTTTACGCAAAAGTTCTGATTCGACTCGAGTATTGGAATGTTGCGTAAAATCATGTCAAAGGAAAGGGAAAATGAGATTTTAGTAGTCATATGAAACAGAGCAACTCTATCCATATAATGCAGTGACTACACTGACGGCTGCAGTGGATACATAGACTCCATAATGATTTGAAAGCTACATTCGTATTTCAGATCCCAATATTGAAAATATAACAAACCTGTAAAAAATATTCAAAAGTTCGCGAAACACTGTACAGGCTGCTTTGTACAGCGTTTGGAGATTGTTTTCAATATAATCTGTATTTTGTATCTTTATTAAAAATGTTGCATTCATCTAATTCTAAATAAAATAAAGCAAATAAATGACGGTATTTTAATGTATTATTATGTTTTCGATGTCATAGAAAAAAATACTATTTGAAGTTGAAATAAAATAAGATCGATATAAAATTAAAACAAAATAAAAGTATAAAATACATCATAATTTTGCAACGTAACATATAAAATTATAATACAAATGTGTTCTTCAAATATGAAAAAATGAAAGGATTTGATTTACATCGAATGGTTTTTGATAATATCCACAATTTTAACTTTTTTTTTAAAAAAAAATGTATTTGGTGGGCTCTCTTTCTTGTGTGTGTGGGGGTGGGGGGTCCTGGGCCGCCACCCACCTTCCTCGCCCTTAAATCTGGCCTTGGTTTTTATGTTATTTTTTTTTCATTCATGGCGTCAATTTTATTGCTATTTATCTGTGAGTTTATGGATGAACGAAATTCTCTCCGACATTTTCTTTCGGCTTTCTTGATTATTCCTCTTGCTCTTGTAGGTTTAAACGAAATTTCATTTTCATCTGTATTGTGCCTTTTATATTCATTATATAAGTGCTTGTATTCCTTGTTGCTTCCTCACATTCTTTTGACCCCTATGGCAGATTTTTCTTGCCTCTTTTGCCTGCAGTTTTATGTGGCATGGACGTTCTTTTACTAGTTAATTTCCTATTCTCTTCGGCGCCCAAAAAGTACCCGGGCATCTCGCGGTCCCTGCCCCATGGCGGAGGGGAAGAGCACTGTAGCTCACCTCGAACATCGCAGATACCTGTCCTGTGCTTCTACGGATTTGCCCAAGTTTTCCTTCGCCCCGCCCTCGGATGCTCGTTGGTCAGCGTGCTCGCTTTCAGGGCGCGATCCAGGGTTCGAATCCCGGTCGGGGCAAAACTTAATTGCGCGCTTTCCTTGCAATGTCCCAGTAACTGTTGCTGTGTGACGATAAGAAAGCTCACTTCTCAGATTGAGAAGATCAGAAATACGTCGTAGGGATGGCTATGTGCGAACCACACGTACCCCTTAACCCACGGCCGCAAAGCCGGGACGCTGCTGGTAGGCCTTAGCTCGCTAAGAGCTGTCGTGCCAAAGTACGCACATACATTCCTTCGCCCCACCTCGGTGATTGCGCGGCCATTGTTGGGGGCTTGGGATTCAGTTCATCAATTAAACACACGCATTGCACGTAGTTGCCTGTCAGGCGAACGCATTTACAAGACGACGGCGTAGGTATTCTTTTATTGTTTACAGCAACGTCTGAGAAAACAGTGTATTATTCTCTTGGCAGCGAATTATCAAATTTATGTGTAACGAAAACATTATGGTAAATGACATTTTGTCAACATTTTGGAGAAAACACAGGGTATCAAGTGCTTAAATTGTGTAAATATTTCCGAGAAGGATGGGGACCGATTGAAAACGCATCATCATAAACAAGGCAACCACAAACATCAATTACTCCTGAAAATATACAACAAATCGAAAAGCTTATCCTCGATGATCGGTGAGATTCGTATGTTTTAAGTCAGAAACATTACAAATAAACATTGGCAATGTTGAACACATTATCCACGAAAAGTTCAAATACTGGACAATTTGTGCAACTTCGATCCCAACATTTGCTTAATGTTCAACAGAAGGTGCGCAGAGGAAATATGTGAAGACATCTGCTAAGCCGTTTTAATCACGAAAGAGATGCTTTTATACAAAAATAGTGTCTTGTGATGAGGCTTGGGTGCATTACTTTATTCTTGAGAAAAGAATACTAGCATGGAATAGCATGCAAACATCTTCGCCTGGGATCCGAAAACGGAAGTGGCTGCTTCAGCAGGAAAAGCTACAATGATTTGGGCCATGATAGGTGTAATTTACACTCATTTTCTTTCATAAAAGAACTCGTGTCGTGAATCCCCTGCACCTCTCTAGGTCTTTGAGAAAAAGGTTAAACCTGCGATTCGATCAGGTCGACAGAAACGATCCGCCAATAATATGATTATCCTTCTCGATAACACCTGACCACCTACAGCTCAATTGATTTTAGAT